GATATAGATATAGATATAGATATAGATATAGATATAGATATAGATATAGATATAGATACTCTGGTCACTCAGATTTCAACCGAATTGAATAAAATTGTCGTACTCTGTACCAACATGTTACAAGATTATAAAAAATAGTAAACATTACTACAATATTCTTTACTTACGCAAAAGTAAGCATATTATAAGAAGTCAAAGGCAGTGCGTTGGCATGAACGACGTAGCGCTCCGAAGAGCACATCGGCAAGCATTGCGGACAATAAAGAGAATCCTCCATTTCACGTTCGAGTCCAGGAATATTTTCGCGTTCAGTAATAACATTAGACCATTTGACTGTGAAAATATATTGGAGCATATATATATAGTTACGCCAAACACATGGTCTCTTTCTCTAACTCTATCTTAAACTTACAATAGTAACGGTCCAAGCAGGCTTTGTGCCTCAGCGTACAATAGACATACTCGGTTGACACATCCAACAACCCATTGGGATGCATGAAAAGCAAACAATTACATAACACCAATATGCTGTACATACGACAACGTGTTATACAGCTATTGTAACTGTATAATTTACCAAATATTGGAGCTTTCTCGTCGTTAAAGTAGCATTGGCGCTTTGCAAAGTGGGTGGAGGAAGTAGTTTAAAAACATTTTGTATAAAGTTGTTCTGTATTCAGTAAATTTTTTTTTTTTGATGTAATGTGTCTATAGGATTAGAGTGATCCTTTTAACTGTTTTCACGCGATACTTACCACTGACGGCGGCAATATGCGAGCCTCGTTTACAGTTTCAATGATACCCGGCTTAATTGTCATGTATGTATCCTTGCCACTTTCCACGTAGCGTTCCTTTACCGAACCACTTGTGATGTCTGCGTAGTGCCCATGGGAATGTATATAAAACTTTAGGAAAGGAAAAAAAAAATAATTGCAAAATCAGCTGTCTATGTTATTACAAATTATCTCTTGCACGGACAGATAGACTTCCATAAATCACTCCTTACTCCTCATCCAGATACATTATATTATACATAAAATTTTATTCATTTCGAATAGTTTTAGATTGCGTAAATTTACATAGTATTATAATAGTTCAGACATACAGACATTGGCCACAAACTTTTGTAACCATTTATTTTATTTATGTCATTTCGACTTACTGCGAAGCTAGCTGATAGCGATGCTTTAAAATATTCATCATTATTTGAAGAGTTTAGTAATAATACAAGGCCATTTAGCTCTTCGTTAAAACTTAAACTGTGAGGCCGCGGCTTCGAATAGCTGGAAAGAATGGAACAAATATATAACATAACTGTAGCCAGGCAGCGTTTTTACTCGTGATTAAAATTTGTAAGTGAATGTCTATATAGATAGCTCTGAAAATTAGTAGTAAATAAGTGGTAACCAAAGATTTCGGCAAGCACACCATTTTTATAAAGGACGATCCACCCACTCGAAGTGCTAGACAGAAGACAATCCGAGGTCCTAATTTCGACTTGCACCATTACCTTGATGCAGCCAAGATGCAGAAAAAACGCACGCCAACAAACACAAGAAAGGTTCGAGAAGCTGCAATCACACATACAGCCGAACGATTTACGACTTGACTTGCACTTCTGCTCGGCACTCGTCAGCAACTCGGTATAAGGGAACTGTGGGACGGTGTTTAAAACTAATTACATACAGCTGCAAAGGAAACCATTGGTTTTCAGAAAAGGCAAAAGAACAGCTGGTACGACGAGGAGTGCTGTGTCGCAGGGGAGAGAAAACAGACTGTCTACATCGCAACGTTACAATCGACCAAAATAGGTACAGAATGGGATAGATACCAAGAGTTGAAGAAGGAATCGAGAGAGAGAGCAAACAGAGAGAGTTCAAAATGTATGAGTATAAAGAGCGTGACAAGCTGGCCGACAGGGGTAATATTCGAAAATTCTACGAAAAAATGCTTCGACTAAAAGAAGGTTTCAAGACCAGAACAATACTTCTCCGACCTGCTCAATGACTCTGAAAGCATAACACCAGAAGATAGTGTGACTGATTCTCCATTCGATTACGATGGAGCAGACGTTCCATTGCCTGACCACGAAGAAATTTGACCATCGGAAGAACAAGAAAGCGGCGAGGGTAAATGGATTGGCGGTCGAGCTATTCAAGCACGGCGACGAAGAACTGATAAGAACCATGCATCAATTTCTTTGTAAAATATGGTCGGACGAAAGTATGCCCAACGATTGGAATTTTAGTGTGCTCTGCTCAATCCATAAAAACGGAGATCCAACAATCTGCGACAACTACCGTGGGATAAGCTTCCTCAACATCGCGTATAAGGTTCTATCGAGCGTATTGTGTGAAAGATTAAATCCCATATCAGCGTGGTTTCAGGCCTCGAAAATCAACAACCGACCAGATATTCACCAAACGCCAAATTTTAGAGAGACTCGTGAAAAAAGAATCGATACACCACCACCTTTTTGTCGATTTCAAATCTGCTTTCGACAGCACGAAAAGGAGCTGTATTTATGCCGTGTTGTCTGAACTTGGTATCCCCGCAAAACTAATACGGCTGTGTAAGCTGACGTTGAGTAATACCAAAAGATCCGACATAATCGGAAAGCAAACCTCCAAGCCTTTCGATTCCAAACTAGATTTCAGACAAGGCGACTCCCTTTTTTAAGATTTCTTCAATCACACTAAACCGCTGTTTTTTCTGGACGAAATGATAGCTCTTGAATTTTTTCCAATTGCTCTTAGTCCCAAATGAAGCAATTTTGCTTTCTTATATACCCTTTGAGCCAGAAATAGTCCACATTCCTGAAAAAAGTTTGGCCCGAAAACTTCGGATCTTCGGCAGCGTTGCCGCTTGGTAAGGTTGATTGAATTCAGTCGTTGTCTTGTACGCTTTCAATCTAAGATCTCGACGTAAAATCCGCTAAGTCGTTCCATACGTCTATCCGGCGAACGGGGACGATACGATTCTTCACGGTCTTCGTGCACACTCACAGCTACAGCTGCTATTTTTTCTTCACTGGAGGTGGTCTATTCGACCGAATATTATTCAATAACAAATTCTGGATATCAAATGCCAAACAATACTGAACAAAAGTAACATGACAGCTAAACACGACTCACGCATGATCTGTTGGCTAATTGTTTCCAAAAATTATCCTCATATATTCTAAAGAACTTACAAGCCATCGTCATTAAAGGTGCAACAAAATCCATTCGCTGTTAAAGTTTCTGTAAATTTATTCAGACAATCAAAGTCCTCTCCGGCCAAACGGCACCGTACCAATACATCCTTGCAACTTGGTGTTAACTAATGAAAGAAAGAAAGGAATGTTCGAATATTTTTACTTTGTATTTAAAATGTGCATACTTAGTCTATCATACTAGGTATGGCTTGCTAACTTATAGTTCAACAAAATGTTCGAGTTTACAAAGGATGAAAAGAATTCGAAATTGTTTCAAATCGCTGCTCACCTGCTTCATGCGATCCCTGGTATTAAAAAATACTTCACTATCCGTGGTATCGTAAATATCCAAAAAGTTTTGAAATTCTAAAAAATCCTCATAATTCTCATCTTTTTCGGTTGTCTTCGAATATGGAAAGCTCAATTTTCTTATTTCATGGTAAAAATAATTAACTCCTCGTGTGTATGGATCTTTTTGCTGGCTAAACAAATATTATTTCAAAAACATACTAAAGTACTTTAAAAATCAAGTATTAGTATATGAAAGCAGGCGCTTACAGTTTCTCCGCATATCTGGTAACGGAGGCGTTCGACATGCGATTCAACGTACATATCGATATTGTTGGAAAGGGCACCTTATTTATGGGGTACAATGGATCAAACATGGTTGTGCTTAAAACTTGCCCCTCGAAGATGGGCGTTCTCCATAGAAAGACAATCATTACGCTCATCATTGTGATATGGAATATAATCCAAAAGAAACTGCAAGTAAATGAAGAGCGACAACAAAAGGCTGTTGATTAAATTCTCGCTCCAACGGCTCCAACAAACACCGATGACAGGCGATATTGCCAAGTGCGCGCTTGTGAGCGCCTACTCACCGTTCGTGGAAACGCCGATGAGGCTCCACTAATTTTCCATAACAATGAAATGACACATTCCGCAGAAAGTCCTTCAATGCCTCGGCAAATGAGATTTTCCGCTTGCCATCGTTGCGTCGAGCAACTGGGACTGCCGGCACCCACCAAGGTGCACGCCCCAGAATAAATGGTGGATGCGTTTTATTCGGCGCTTGTTGCGGTGTGTATCGCTGTTTGTGCGGCGATAGCGTTGCCATTTACATTTAGTTTGGAGTCATACTAAATGAAAGAGATTCAAATGCCGTATACACTAACGCTGTTTGACAACCGACAGTCGCACTAATTGTAACTCTAATGGCAAATGCCTTGGGTTTTATATACGAAACATACACCCATGAAATGGCACTACCCCCTTGGTAATCACTGGGGTTAGGTTTGTTAGCGGCACTTGTAGATTTTCGGTTGCCTTGTACCTGTAAATTGAAGTCGTTTTCGCTGGCGAATTAGCGTCGGTTAATTGCTTTGGTGTCAGTCGTTACTGATATGTCGAAGTGCCAGAGAAGAGTGCCGGCATGTGTATGTGTGTTGGCATGTTCGTGCGCATATTGAACTAATTACGCAGCATTATAGCTTAATAGTGGAGCGTTTAGTGGAGCAATCAGGCTTACAACTAGACTCTATTGTTAGTCATTGAAGTTGAAAGAGTTGTAAAGATTTGTAAAATACTAACAATATCATTGTAAGTATGTAAAAATACGCAAGGCACCGTAAATTGGCAGTAATTACTTGCGCTAATCGATTATTTTCAATGGATGTAGAAAACATTATATAAATAGTTTTATTCCTTCAGTAATCAAAGTGAACAGCAAAAAACTTGTAAAACATTTAATATTTAATTTGGTAAATAACTACTACAATAATGCTACTATACTATACAGTTTTGGAAACCCTACACAACAAAAGCATTATAGAATGCGTGGTAAGCCATTATCAATCTTAAAAGTTCTCTGAATCCTTCATTGAAACAGATAAGTTACCTTTACGTGATTACATCATTCCAACGAAGAGAGGAATCGGCAGTCTACTAAATGGTTGTTGCCAGATGAAATCCAAGTTTTTTTCGAAGCGATAAAACACAACAACTATCGACCGCCGAGTAAAACAATAAATAATCAATATACCTGTTTGTTAAACCAAAAACTCTTCAGGCCACACTGTTTGTATTAATTCGAACTGAAATATTCGTAACAGATAACGTCAACGCTTTTTACGAACTTTAGGAGACTTTATATCTAATTTTTATACTTCCCCTTATACTACGAATCTTCTAGATAGCTAAGACGAATTCTAGATACGATTGAACAGAAGCAAAGGAAGTGCTTCAGCGTTTTCCTCATGTATACTTTTCGTCTTTACTAATCCCCATTTGGTTTGCATGTGATGCCATTGAGTTGTGGCCAGACCTGCAGTCTCTTCACACTCTTCGTCTGGCCAACGCGGGACAAATGCAAAAGATATACTCCATTGTTTCCCTGATGCCTTGCTCTAGACATTCATGGAAATCTCGTTCATTATTTCATTGCCCTCGATGAATTTTTAGCTTGGCACCCAGTTGAAGTGAAGTTGCTTGCTTCTGGGAACACCTTCCACTGCTATGCTGCTTCCCAGAACACTTCTGGCCGATATGCGATATGAGGTTACTGCCTTGACTATTGCTTCTCTGGAATTTCCTGCAGGTACATTAGCCAGCTCCGCGGCTTTCACGATAGCAAATACCTAAGCTTGAGCTGCAGTGGTCCGGCAACTTAAAAGGCTGCCTTATACCTAACTCTGAATAGTATATTTTCGCACCAACTCCACGTCCATTTTCATCCGCATACATAGATGTTTACAATGTTGTGCTTAGCTAACGTAGTACCTTTACGCCAGCCATATTTTTCTATGTTTACTTAGAAAATTCTTTCCTAGTTGAAAAGTAAGATCATGTTATCGATGGGAAAATGAGCTTCGAACAAAGAGCCAACATTAAATTTTGTTTTAAAATTGGTAAAACTTTAACCGAAATGTTTCAATTGATGAAACAATTTTATGGCAATGATTGCCTATCGCGTAGCAGAGTGCACGAGTGGTTTTAACGTTTTCTAAGTGGTCGTTTTCATGTGGGCCAATCACAATCCGTGATCACCGGAAATTCCATCGAAACTGTGTGTGTGCACGGTTTATTCCGCACAAATCGACTGTCGACCAAAAATTACTCAGAATCCAACATTCGAAGGACATCATTAAAGTGGTCAATAAGGACAAAAACTTCCTTTAGAATATTGTGACTGGTGACGAAACATGGTGTTTCCGATATGATCCCCAAACGAAGCGCCAGAGTGCTGAATGAAAGGCACCGGAAGAGCCGAAACCCAAAAAGTTAAAAGTGAAGAAAATGCTGATTTGTTTCTATGGTTCCAAGGGTATGGTCCACAAGGAATTTATTTTACCCCGCCAAAACGTTTATGCGGTATTCTACCTTGGAGTTTTGAAGCGTTTGGTGCGCCGTGTTCGACGTGTTCGACCCGAATATCGCGAAGATGAAGGTTGGCGTTTGTTGCACGATAATGCGCCGTCTCATCATTCGAAACTTGTGACCATTAAAAGTAAGTTAAGTTTCTAAAAATATCTCAAGCATTGAGTCTCTGGTGAGCACAAAAACTTGAATGAGGTGTATATATCTAAATCATCACAAGAATTACATGACTTGACAAATATTTTAACTTATTTTAAGGACATATATAGAGTTGTATCTCGTCTTTCTTTTTGTCTTCTTTATGCTTTTGGCTTATAGCTGATCTGATGGCAAGTATTACGTATTTTGTTGTAAAGAAGCCAATCTCAAAGCCTGCAACAATAGAGAAGCCTAGAAATATTGAGGTTACATTGCCGATTGTGCCTAGAAATGCAAAAGAAAGAATTGCTCAAAACTAATAATTTTTTAAACAACTTTCAAATATATATAGTACTTACACAATGCTTCATACCAGGTATTACCCACCACACGCTTATAATACTTGGCATATGGCTCATCAAAATGGATACGCAACACTGACATCTCCTCCAAATCGAGAGCGACCTTATCCAATTCACTAAAATTAAAATTTGCACCCCAAGAGTTCTAGATTAAAACCTTTATCATATGGTTAGCGAAGAAAATCATTGAATTGTAGCCTTAGTTTAGCGATAATTTCTTGGTTACGACCACCTTCAAGACAACTGTATTTCATTTCAACTTACTCTTTTGTAGTGGTAGCTAAGAATCGATCTATAGGCAATGCCATAAAGGATACACCATATTGTATATCATTGCAAGCTGGCAGGCATTCCGGACAGTACAGAGCTTCTTCGTAAGCACGTTGTAAACCAGGCACAAACTCGCGGTGTGTAAGCACATTGTTCCATTTAACTGTCAAAATTACAATACGTATATTCCTTCTCAGTCCCACAGAAAGAGCTGAACAAACTCACATTTATAGCTGAGCAGGCAAGGCACATGTTGCAGGGTACAATAAATGACGCCATCTCTATCCGACACCAATCTGGTATCCATGTAAAAGGGTATACAACTACACAACGACAAAATACTACGAATTCGGCAGCGTGTTACACAATTAGAGAAACTATAATTCCATTGAAGACTCGTAGGATATAGGGAAAATTCATCTTCGAAATAACATTTACGCTGTAAGTAAAAAAATTTGAAGGAATTTAAGAATATCGTTCAAATTAGTGGCATCCCACTTACTGTATGCGGACTAAATGAACTCAAATTGGGCTCTGTGTAAACCAAAAGAGCATTCAACGCCAGAAAGGACTCTTCGCCATACGTTATAAATAGCTCGTGTGACTCACCCGATGTTGTGTCGGCAAAGATATCAGAATCATGGACGATGACAATGTAACCATCTATATTCATTAAGGACATAAAATCGTCTTTATGACTGGTATTCAAAACGACCGTCAAACCAAGTTCGGTACTGACGAATTGATCACGCATTTTACGATTGTTGTAACTGTAGATAATGAAAACAATATAATTGCAATAAAAAAAAAAATATCTTGAAATTTTCCAAAAAGCGAGTACGAAGTATAAAATAAATAGTTTATACGAAAACTTTCACAAATAAAGGGTTATAAATGTAGAGGTACTTTTTTCGATAGAATTTTTTTTTGCAGATCACGCTTGAGTTGTGTCAAGCTGTCAATGTTGAACAAAAATATATTGTTGTATAATATATGTGATAATATAGCTTATGCAAGAACTCTAGCCGCTGGAAGTTCCCAAACGACACTGCTTTGCTCTATGGGCTCTTGCAAAGTTCGAAAAAATCGGAGGTTTTCGAGCCAAACTATGTTTATCTACGAGACCCATTTCTGACTCAATGGGTATGTAAAAAAGCAAAATTGCCGCAATCGGGACAAAGAGCAACCAGCGGAGATTCAAGAGTTGCCATTTCATCATGAAAATCCAATCGAAGAGATCGAAAAAAGCATCGAAAATTTTTCTCAACGGATGGAACATCTGAGACGAATCCCCGACAAACATTTGAAAGAGATAATCTTCAATAATAAAAGTAATGTTTTTTCATATTAATATAAACATACCCCATTAAATTTTTATTTTCTGTGTTCTTTCTTTAAACAAGCAGGGAATCTCGAAATGGATCGCACTTATCTTGTCAAGCTTCTTCTGATCTGAAACTAGTAATGTATGGATGGATTTCATTCATTTCAAAAGCAGTAACAATCAGAAAGCAAGTGATATTGTTTTAGAACCAAAAATTCTATAGTTTGGTCAGAAAAGTTTCTGAGGAAATATACTTAAGACATCCTCGATAAGCAATACCGACGAATTAAATTTGCTTTGCAATATGAACGTGGAATGGTTGGGTGGCAAGAACGTAATAATCCTAGGAAAATCTTGAATCAAACTAAAAGAAACTTCACAATATTTCCGCACTGTTTTTAATCAGAGCCAATCAGAGCGTTTCTTAATTAATCGAAACCGGATGATAATTAGTATTAACTCAGATGTAAGAAGTAAAGTCCACAAGCGTCAAAATATTTTATTCGGAAATCCAACGGCGCCATCTTCGTTACGGAACGTGAAACACAGAGGAGTCATTAAGAATTCGAAATATACAACATGAATATCCCTGAATTTTACTGACATCCTTTTTTTTACTCTTCAGGGGAGTTTTTCGCTTACTTAAACCAATTTCACTCACAAGTTTCCTGTATTGAAGGTACAACAAAATCCATAAGTCGTCAAACTTTTCTGAAATGTCTTACGGCTGAAGCATTCGACTTCGACACCTGATAGCTTGCAATTGCGAATGAGACTCTCACATGATGGCGTGAGCTGAAAATACAAAAGAAGATTTAATACAATTGCACAAATTGAGGTCCTGTGCTTTACCTATGTATATACATATAAATAATATATATATGTATTAATAAAAAGATCTACAATTGTGAATTATTACCATTTCCGCAACCCTCCGTGTATCATAGAAAGTATCATTTTCATATATATCGTATTTGTCCAACAACGCTTGAAAATTAGAGAATTCCTCAGCATCGACATCCAAATCAATTTTCTGATAAAACTGAATGAAGAACCTTAAATGTTCCATGAAAAAATCAACGCTTCGGCCTTGAAAATCCTTTTCACTCCTATAATAATAAATAAATGGATGCATTCAGTGTTTAAATGTATACACGTATATAAGCTGCGATTGAACGGACGTTAAGAGACCCACTTCAGCTATCAGTAGGCTATTGTGCTCCCCAAAGTTTAGTAGGATGATAATTTTCTTGAGTTTTCCAAATCTTCGTTTCATTTAGATTGCAATATTGGGTACTCTAATATTCTATCTCATAAGATAAGTTCCCTGTGACGACCCATAATAGTTTATTCAACTCACTCTTTTCTAAAAGCAAAATCCTTAAATTGCTTGCCTTTCATCAGCCTTTTCAGGCAAGGAAACAAAAAAAAAAAAGTCCAGTAGCTACATTGGGCTGTAGGGCGGCTGCCGGGCTTGGTTAGGCAACTGTTCACAAGAAAGGCAGTGTGAGCCGGGGCGTTGTCATGGTGCAACTTCCAATCGGCTGCGATGTGTTGTCGGACCCGAATGACCCTTCGTTTGAGTTCTTGACGACTTCCATGTAAAACTTGGCGTTTACGGTTTCTCCAGGAGGAAGGAATTCATGGCGGACGCTGCCTTTGATGTCAAAAAAGACAATGAGCATCGTTTTCATCGGCTCTAAAAAAAAAATCCTGGTGCCACCGAAACACACCACTTTTTGCTAAAGCAACATCTGGGTAAAATCATTTGCTTGATCACATCAAACGTCTCTGTCGGAAATTTGCCGAGTTTCACACAAAATTTAATCGCCTACCTCTTCTCTAACGAACGCTGCATTTTCGGCTTCCTCCACTCAAAGAAACACGTCGCGGGGAAATGTTTGTCCTAACTCTCCAGGTGCGGTCCTACGTCCTCTACCGAATCCAGTGGGTGCGCACAAACTTCAAAGAACAGTCGCGGCGGAAGAAAACTATTACTATTACTGTATTCTCTATATTGGTTGGAACTTAGAAGTTTATTGTTCTACAAATATTCACAAGAAAGTTACCGCATTTGCCGGTTACAACAGAAACTCACTTCAGGGCTTCATCCAAGGTTTCGGCCTGAGAGACAATATTGTGATTGTAGAGTTTAAAGCTACCTTCGCATGGCATCGTTACCTCTTGGTAACTATATTTTCGATCATTTTTCGGTGCAGAATTGGTTTTCATTTTCTTTTCAGCCTAAATATTGTAACAAGTAGTATGCTGTTTCTTGGTAGATCTGAGACTATCTCTAAAACTCTGATACGTCAGGCTACAAGTACCTTGAACATAACTTTTTTTTCTTAATAAGTAGAGTTTTCTGGTGGGTTTTACACTGCAACAAAAGTAAAGCGAAGGTTTCTTCTTGGAAGTGGAATTCTCTAATTATTAAAATAATTAACTCTTCGAATAGAGTAAACATCACTTACAACTTCTAAAGGACTCTTTCGGTACTATCTTTCGCTAGAAATCATGGTGAATATATCCAACAAGTTCTTAAGAAAGCTAGGAATTACAATCGCACCCTTACAGAACTATGAAACTGATTCGGGTGATAATTCCATGGCGACTCAACGACGCTCACTGTTAACTACTGGTTAATGCTTTTCAATGAATACGTACATTAGGGCGTGCATTGTGGTGTGTGTGTGTGTGTGTATGCGTGTGCATTTAATACCAACAATAAGTGAAATGTCAAACTCACAGCTGCTTTGCATACGCCAATGCCGCTTGCCTTGAAATTCTATTGTTCGAGCAGATGGAAATTGATGGAAATGGCACGTATTCAATGGGATACAGTGGATTGGATAGGTTGATGACAATGTACTGAGCGACAAATTGTTCCCATATCAGTGACAGAATCGTAAACAGCGTGAACATTGTTGTTAAATGCACGGCCAACCATATTAATCTGCAAATATGAGAACATACCTATGGTATATTGACACAATGGAAAATGAGCAAACTGATATGAAAGTACAGCGACATTCATGTATAGCGATGCAAATAAGGATATACTATACAACTAAGTCCTGTAGTAGCCATGTATTAGTTATTAGAATTGATGACATGGGTTGTTACTGTTTAAACGCAATCTGAAGACGTTCCTGCGTCTTTTCGTTACCGTCAAAGAAATATGGAAACTGTGGTGCACTGGGGGGGAGTCTACATTAAGTACCAATATAATAATCTATTAAAGTGTCAATTCAACACCAAATTACGGATAAACGGCTTCATTTGGGGATGATTCCCTCGATAGGGAGTAGCCTTGTCTAAAGCCTCGTTTGGTATCGAACGGCTAGATGAGAGTCCTTCCCGATCCTGATGGAGCTTTTGCTATTGCTCAACGTCTGCGTGGATATCAAATTCAGATATCGCGAGTTAAAGACAGCTCTTTATCGTTGTGTCAAAAACAGCTTTGAAATCGACGAAGAGGTGGTGTATGTCGATCCTCTTTTCACATATCTTGCCAGGTCTAAATATACACTGATAAGGTCCAATCAGTTGTTCTTTAGATAGGTAATTGCTATTCGAACTTCTTGATGCTCGGGCAATGGAAATCACTGCTTTCTGGATCCTAGTTATAAAACCATTTTCACTCTAAATATCCTAAGGTCTCAATTCTATGAAGATATTAATTTTCAAAAAGGTATTTGAGCTTAATATGTTCATGCGCAACCTACTCGAATTTTCCGATATAAAATTATATGTAAACCGTTTAAGAATTGAAATCTTGAACAGCTCTAGCTAACAATCAACGCTGCGTATGAGTAACATTGCGTGCAAGTGTATTCCTCATTGAATGCCACATTAATTTGCTATGAAGTCTTCATTGTTGATCCATGTGTGCATGTATGCGTATACTCACTTCTCCCACACGTTCAATGTGCTGTCGACCAATTTACCATACGCATGCATCGATATGTTGCGAAATAGATCCGTCATGTCATTGCTGAATCTGGCGCCAACTGATTGCTTTCGCTTTTTTATAGCCCTTTTCGATGTTTTCTTTGGACTCTTTATCCACCAAATGGCACTGGATGTTGACTTCATTTCGCACTTCTACACTACTGATTCGCATTTGCATAAACTAAGTATGCACACACACACACGCATGCATACAAACACGCTTATGATTCCTCTGAGCTGCTCTACTGCTGTGTGCCTGCTTTCCACTTATTACAGCTTGCCTCTTGGCTGGCTAATGCTGGTGATTTACAGCGTCCATGTGTAGCGGGAATGTTGCAATTGTTTATCCACCGGGGTTGGGAATTGGCACTGCAGCAACGGTATTACTTTCACGGTTCAGTGATTCTCACGCAACACACGGTTTGTCGCTTGTCGCCGCGTGAGAACAACGGCTCCGTTACAATCGCTGTCAGCGCTGTGCTGCGGATAAAGTTCAAGTGACAGCCAAACGAGCTATAAATGCCCTTATATACTGGCATATGGGTGTGTGTGTGTGCGCGTATGTTGCTGGTGTAGGCAAGTCGTCATGTGTGTACACCGTGTGCGCTTCGTTCAACATGCATTGACGCTTAGGCTGCATTGAATAATTGCCATTGTCACTGCAGGGGCGTATGTGCGAGAACTTGTAATGGATTTTCTTCATTAGCGACACAGGGACACATAACGCCTACTTAACCGAAATTCACTTAGAAGTTCCAATTTTACTGCAAAGCCACTTTCGACGTTTTGAAACTTGGCTGGATCGTTATTGTCTTGCAAACTTAGTGAAACTTTTTATGACGATTCCGAGACGCTACCTTGGTGTTGTATGCATCTACCGTTAGTTCAAGTAAACATTTAAAAATACCACCTTACCGATTTAATTAGGTTCCCAAATTAATTTCAGATTGCCTTAATTACTCAGCTAAAGAAAAAAATGAAAATTTTGATTAATTGGAAATGAACAAGCGAAAATTCTTAAAACAATCGATGAATTTAGCCGAGTTAATTTTAAGAGTTATTCTTCTTTCGCAAAACATTAAATGGAAAGCCTATAAACAGCAACTTTTAGAGTCAGCACTTCTACATGCATGAATCTGGCGTCACCTAGGTTTAATTACCTGAAAGAAATGGGGATCAAAATCAATATGTTTAGGTATATATAAAGAAGACACTTAACTGCTGCTAATAATTGCTCCTTTTAAAATCTCCCTTAGGCGTCATCGTCTCTTAAATACAACGTAAACCCAGAAAAACTATGTGTCCAACGGAACACATAATAGGATTGCTAACCTTGTCAACTGTCTTCACCTTGAATGGAGAATTCCGAAAACAGACATTTGCAACACCGAAAAAGAAACGTCGGAGACCCTATAAAGTACATACATATGCATGATAAGCCATATCCATCTGTATGTCTGTCTGCCTGCCGCCTCTATATATGCAAACTAGTTTCTAAGATTTCGAGGTATCGTTCTTAAAATTTTCACACGTCTTTGCTCATTTATCGGAACCGACATCGAACAAATATAATACAAAGTGAACGATCAAATTCAAGTCGTTGCATGGATAACTTTTTCATTTGGCAAGGTATATTCAGGCAATTTGGTAAAGAGTAGTAACAAGGCATCTATAGCTTTTAGCTGCCATTGAAACTAACCAATCAAATTTATAATAAAGATAAGTTTATACTCTTTTATGTTATAAAAATGCGCCTGTGAAGAGTATTATATAAGTTTTTGGAAAATTGAATTGAATTAATATACATTTCTCCTACAAAACTTAAGCTACAGAAAAACAAATTTGCTCAGGATGAATCCCTTAAACCCCTAACGAAACTGTAAAAGTGGATCGGAAGATAGCCAGATTCTCTCCCCCATATAACGGTACTGTTCAAAACTGTTAAAACTGTGATAAATTAATAACTAAATACGACAGAGATATAAAACTTTACACCCGAGATGGTATGAGAAGACTTAATATTGTCGAAACTGGGATAGAAACTGGACGATAAGCATTCCACCGATTACTTTTAAGTTAAATCTCGGGACCCGTCCGACCGAACAGTGTGAAAATGGGCGGACTGCAATCACGCCTACTTCCCATATAAAACGATTTTAAAGTCCATCTGATTCTTTCCTTTCCAGTGTACAAATCAAGAAGCCATATAATGGGATAAAACTTTGGACGAATAGTGCCTTTAGTGTATTCCACTAAATTACCGAAAGTGGCATAAATCCAGCCATATTTAATTGAAATTCAGGGACAATTCTTTTCTGACAATGATATGTCTTATTTAAAAATGGGTTGAATCTTCCTTTACCTACCATACTAAAACTAATACAATAATTTTCGAACTTCCAGGGCTCTTTATACCGCATACCATATATCCGGCAACTTGTGAGCTATCTCACTAAAAATAAGAGATCGGGTTTTATCTGGCAGAAACTTTACCTAGCCTCCATACCCGGGTGATGTTATGTGAGGTGCCTTTATAAATCTCACTGATCATTTAGTATGTAGCATGATAATATTTAATCAAGGGCGGATCCAAAACTTGTCACCGAAGACTATTATATTTAATACAATTACATTTAATATTTGATGCTTTTGCCAAATCAATCGATTCTTTCTGAAAAATCACACTGAGTGAATGAATTAGAGATAGAATATCACAAAGGCAAAAAATTCGCTACCATCCCAGCTCTCATATATTATATACATATGTACAAAGGGCGTTCCAAAGTAAACAGGACTTTTAAAATCTAGCGCCCCCTGGTGGTGCCATCTGTGTGTCGACTGGTGCGTTAGAATCTGCTATTTTCGATTGTACAGTGAGAATTTCATGACATTTCATTGATTGGAAATAAAGTTATTGCGTTTTAAGTGTTAGTATGTTTGTGTTACCGGCGCGAAAATGAGCTTCAAACCAAGAGCCAACATTAAATTTTGTTTTAAAATTGCTAAAACTTTTACCGAAACGTCACACGAGGTGTTTCAACGTTTTCAAAGTGGTCGTGAGGACATAAGTCACGATCAACGTGTGGGCCAATCAAAATCCGTGATTACCGGAAATTCCATCGAACTGTGCGTGAATTCATAAAAAATCAGCCGAAATCATCATTGACATTCATGGAAATGGAATTGAACGTATCCAAAACTTCGACTTATCGCAATTTGACCAAACATTTGGGCTTACGAATAATATTGCACAAATTGACGGACGACCAAAAATTGCTCAGAATCCAACATTCGAAGGACCTTAAAAATTATTTCACCAAAATCAGATTTTAACCATTAACCACTCCCCGTATTCACCTGATATGTAGAGGTCATTCGAAAGGCTTGCACCGGCATCCTCACGGCCATACCGACCAATGAGCTAAAATACTCGTTCGACATGCTTTTGGACCGTGCAAAAAGCTGTATTGAAGCAGAAGGAGACTATTTTGAATAAAATTAATTGATTTTGCCGAAAAAACCATTTTTTCTGTTTTTTTTTTTAGTCCTGTTTACTTTGGAACGCATTTTGTATAATGATTTTCGTTTTTTTACTTCACTTCAAAAAATCATTTTTTTTTATCTTCTTCAGCTCCTCCTTCGATGCCGTCTTTATCTCGTCAAGAGAAGCGTAACGTCGTCCTTTCATGGGCCTCTTCCGTTTAGGGAACAAGAAAAAGTCACAGGGGGCCAGATCTGGGGAATACGGTGGCTACGGCATCATTACACTAATTTGGCCAAAAAGTCGCACACAAGCAACGATGCATGAGCAGGGGCGTTATCGTGGTGCAAAAACCAATTTTTGTTCTTCCACAAATCCGGGCGTTTCTGGCGGATTGCTTGCCGCAAATTGCGCATAACTTGCATAATATTATTTTTTCTTGATAGCTATTCGATGAGTAACTGAGTAACTGCTCCGTTTTTTAACTCTAAAACATAAAAATGATGATATGGCTTTATATGCTTATGAATAGTTGCTCGTTCGATTCGTCACATAGTGTGATATGTGAATTCTTAAACGATCTAAAGCTAACACTTTCTCGAACTATAGTACCCATTGGAGAAAGAAATTGTTATAAAAAAAATAGAAATAAAATTTGAAGATTCAGTTTACTTGGAACACATATTGCGCTCATTTAGCTCCTTGCTAATGTCGCGTAACCAATGAAGTTTGTAGTAAAACTTAATCGCTGGCTACTAACCGTTGCACACGTGGTGCTCACTAACTATCGAGCTTTAATTTTGTCTGTAGAAACTATGCACAGTACAGAAGGGATAAATATTAAGTATATAGCACAAATACACGCGGGCTCATACGAATAACTACTAAAATAATATTTGTACGAACATATGTAAGTATGTATATGTTRTATATGTTGTTTTCAGGTCTCTTTTATGGGTAGACGACCTCAGTTATCAAAACAATACGAATTTTGCATCGGAGACCGATTTCGAGTGCCAAAAGAAAATAAAACTTGACGGAAAATAGTGGAAAGGCGCCAATGACAAAAGAAGAAAACCAACAGCACACCAGAGTAAAACCACAGCAAGGACAATACTTAGTTTAGAGCAAATAGCACTCCATCCACTTCCAGCGCACAAGTGCACTCAACGGACATTTTTCGTCGAAAGCAGCGGCAGCGCCTGGAAAAAAAACTCACCCATTACTAGAATAGCATTTATTAGGACAATTGGCCAACTGGACCAGTGCCACCATGGCTGACTGAACGAGCGCCTACGATTTGTTTGCCTTCTGTGCTCAATTTTGTTATTGTTGTAATAAAATGTAATTGGTTCGCTGCAGTGCGGCGCCCATATTGCTGGTAGTCATTTCAATACTGTGTCCCGCGGCGCACGTTATCCACGCTGTAGATACAGTTAGTGTGGAAGTGCTTGCACAAGCGAAAGATTTTAATGATTTTTTTTTTCATACTGACGATATATGTATATAGTATTATTTTTATTGGAGAAATATGCGTTATGTTGTACGAAATGTGTATATTTAACCACGAGAGGATGGTGTCATGCATGTTTGGTTTGTAAAGGTCGGAAATATTCGAAGACCGAAATACTAGTAAATCCTTCCGTGCATAATGTTGACGAAA